CTGTCCATACACTGGCCTCACACATGCAAGGGCTAGTTTCTGTTATCATGCTTCCTGCCTCACACCAGCATTGACCTTATGTCTCCATGCTTTCGAAATAGCCCTGGAAAGCTGTGAGTAGTTATGTGCATGACCCTGAAACCTCAGGTGCACAGCTATTTCTGCTGCTGGCAGCCCTAGGGCCTTGAACTAAGTACATGCTATGTATACACGTAGATAAGTACGCATTTTAAAAGCCATTATGAAATGAGAATATATTGTAGAAAGAAACAATTATCTTCCCGTTTAAGAAGAATGGCCAAATAAAAATGTTGCCTCCTTGGGATGGTTGTGGATTTCTCTTCCCTGGGCATCTGGGAGGCAACATGTTAGAGTGGGTAGGGCCCTGGCCTTGGCCTCAAGAAGACCTGGGTTCCATTCCTGTCTCAGATACTTACAGGCTGTGTGACTCCAAGCAATTCACTTTCTGTGCTCCATTTTCTTCATCTGTAAAATGAGGATGATGGACTCAATGGCATCTAAGTCATGTTACAACTCTGAATCAATCATTCTAGGATGCATAGATATAAGGGAGAAGTTGAACAGTTGAAAAAAAAGTTGAAAAATTTGCTGGCCAGTTTATTAAGTTGACTAAGTTGCCAGAAAATCACTACCATTTGCAAAAGAGTTTTATTGTTCCTCCCTTCCCCTCCTCCTTCCCAATTTAGTATTGTGACATAAAGGGTACTTAGATGTAAGGAAGGAAACAATAAGTACTCGGGTTGCCTTTTTTAAAAATCCAGACATACCTTCTCAAAAGGATGAATTAAGGATTCAGTAGCTTAGGCATCTTGTGAATCTGTCCTTAGGTCAGAGCCCTGAACCACTTTGATTCAATTCAACTAACATGTGTTAAAGTCTTCCAAAGTTCTATGGGAGATTCAGAGATGAAAAAGACACAGTGCTAGCCTCTTGGTACTGATACTAAATCACAGGGAAGAAGGTATACTAAAATAACTATAATACTGTTGGGAATTTTTCCAGTTTTTCATTTACATGCTATAATGGCATAGAGGCAGTTTTCCATGATTCAGACTAAGGTAGGGACAGCAATGGCCTAGATAATGTAAAACAACAGAGAAGCAGTGAAGTATGCCTGCCTTGGGTGCACTTTTTAAGGGCTCTAGGGTAGCAGTTATACCTTCCTAATTATATTTGGCTCAGGCTTGTACAAGTTTGAATGTCTGGTATAAACAGTCACTGTAGGACAGGTAAACTAGAGGCATGTGTGTGATGGTGAGTGAAACTGGCTGAATGAATATTTGCCAAAGAATATATGCTTGCTATAATATAAACATTTTATGCTCTAAATCACTATTGATTAGAGAAATGCAAATCAAAACAACTCTGAGGTACCACATCACACCTATCAGATTGGCCAATATCACAAAGCAGGAAAATGATAAATGTTGGAGAGGATGTGGGAAAATTGGAACACTAATGCATTGTTGGTAGAGTGAAATGATCCAACCATTTTGGAGAACAATTTGGAACTATGCCCAAAGGGCTAGAAAATTGTGCATACCCTTTGACCCAGCAATAACACTTCTAGGGCTGTATCCCAAAGAGATAATACAAATGGGAAAAGGACCCACACGTACAAAAGTATTTATAGCAGCTCTTTTTGTGGTGGCAAAGAATTGGAAGTTGAGAGGATGCCCATCAATTGAGGAATGGCTGAACAAGTTGTGGTATACGAATGTAATGGAATACTATTGTGCTATAAGAAATGATGAGCAGGCAGACTTCAGAAAAACCTGGAAAGACTTGTATGGTCTGATGCTGGGTGAAGTGAGCAGAACCAGGAGAACGCTGTTCACAGTAACAGCCATGTTGTACGATGACTAATATTGATAAACTTAACCCTTCTCAACAATACAAGGATCTAAGACATCTCCGAAGGCCTCATGGTGTCCACATTCAAAGAAAGAACTATGGAGTTTGAATGCAGATCAAAGCTTAGTATTTTGCTATTTTTTTTCTTCTGTTGTGTTTTGTTTCCTCTTTCTGGGAGTTCCTCCTGTTGGTTCTAATTCTTCCTTACAACATGACTAATGTGAAAATATGTTTAATAGGAATGTATATGTATAGCCTATGTCAGATTGTACACCCTCTTGGGAAGAGAGGGAGAGAAAAATTTAAAACTGAAAAGCTTATGGAAGTGATTGTTGATAAATCAAAATAAATGAAACATTCAAAAAAAATTTAAAAACAAGCAAAAAAATAATATAAGCATTTTATAAACTGGAAATCTCTATGTAAGTGTGAAGCACAGTTATCACGAAGTGAATAATCCCCCTGTAGATTATCAAGAGCTGACCATTATCTACAAGAAAAGAGAATCCTTTAATCAATCAATTAACAAAAATTTGTTAAATGCCTCCTAGGTGCCAAGCACTGTTCTTGGTCTATGAGTTTGGGGATGGTATGGTATCTGGTTGTTGTTGTTCAGTCATTTCAGCCACGTCTGATTCTTCATGAACATTCTTCTGGGATTTTCTTGATGAAGATACTGGAGTGCTTTGCCACTTCTTTCTCTGGCTCATTTTTCAGATGAGGAAACAGACATACAAGGTTAAGTGACTTGCCCAGGGCATATAGCTAGTAAGCATCTGAGGCCAGATTGAACTCAGGTCTTCCTGACTCCAGGTCTGACTCTCTATCTACCGCACCACCACCTAGCTGCTCTGTGGTATGGTATATCCCTATATTATTCTTGGTTGGGAGATGGGAGAGAAGAAGAGATAAATGAACAAATGAATTAAAATACATTTATGAAGTGCTTATCATGTGCCAAACTCTGTGTGTGTATGTGTGTGTGTGTGTGTTTGTGTGTGTGTGAGACACATAGAAAAAGACAGTGGTGCCTTCTGTTATGGAGCTCACTCTACTCTGAACGGGAAAGATAGCAACAAATGTAAGAGAGTTCAGCTACAGGGTGAGCATATTTTTCTCAACTTCAAGCCCATCCAAAATATCAGACTAAGGCCAGCTGAGAGATTTCCTTCTCTCTTGAGCCGTGCCTCCAGTAAGATACAAGTATATGTATAAAGTTCTTCCATACAGCATATTGCTTTTCTGCATTTTTCTCATACCATCATAGCAAGTGTAGAGGTAGACAAACAGGATTCAGACTTTCAGGTGCAAGCATTATCTTGGTTTTTTTTCCTCTATTTCATTTTTCTATTGAAAAGCATTTGTTTCCTCTTTCTACCACTCTCCCACAATTTAGAAGAATAAAATAAAAGCAAAGCCTTTGTAATAAATATGCATAGTCAAGCAAAACAAATTACCACATTGTCAGTGTCCAAAAATTTATGTCTTATCCTGAATTTTGAATCTATCACCTCTCTGTCAGGAAGTGGGTATGACTGATCATCGTCAGTCCTATGAAATCATGATTGGTTGTTACATTGTTCAGAGTTCTTTAATCTTTCAAAGGTATCTGTCTTTATAAAGCTACTATTACTGTATAAATTGCACAACTGGTTCTGCTCACTTCAATTGGCATCAGTTCACGTAAGTCTTCTTATTTCTTATGGCTCAATAGTATTTCATCCACATACCATAATTTGTCTAGCCATTCCCCAACTGATAGGCACCTCTTAATTTCCAGTTCTTTACTATAACAAAAAGAGTAGGGAAAAATATTTTTGTTCATTGGCGTTTTTTTTTCTTTTTCCTTTGATTTCTTTGGCTTATAGACCTAGTAGTGGTGTTACTGGATCAAAGACTTTGTAGAGTTTAGGCACCTTTTGGACATAGTTCTAAATTGTTTTCCAAAATGGCTGGACCAAGTCACAATTCCATCAACAATGCATTAGTGAGCCTATTTTCCGCTGGCCCCTCCAACAGCTATAATTTTCCTTTCTTGTCACCTTTGTCAGTAGGTTTGATGTAGAACATGATAATTGCTTTAATTTGCCTTTCTCTAATTATTAGTGATTTTAAACATTGTTTCATATGATTGTTGATAGTTTGAATTATTTGTATTTAATGGTAGCCATCTCTAGGATGGGAGGGAGGGAAGAAAAAAATGGAAAAAAGAAATTTACATGATCATTTTATTTTATACACACACACACACACACACACACACACACACACACACGGAACAGCAAATAGTACATAAATAGATTTGCAGTTTCATGTGCAGTCATCTTTTTTTAAATTCTATTATGTTATGTTAATGCTTGTTTTGTTTCATAAATTAAAAATAAAATAAAGAAAATTTAAAAAAAGAAAACTGCTGATATCTTTTGACCATTTATTTATTGTTGGAATGGTTCTTATTCTCATATATTTGAAGCAGATCCTTCTTCATATTGGAGTCTCATATCAAAGAAACTTACTGTGAAGATTTTCCCTCCATTTAACTGTTTTCTAGTTACACTGGTTTTGGCTATACAAAAAAACTTTTTAATTCTGTAGCATCAAAATTGTCCATTTTACCTTCTCTGACCCTCTCCATCCCTTATTTGGTCATGAACTCTTCTCCTATGTGATAGTTATTTAGGTGATGAAGGCCTATATGTCTTGGTATATGTTGCTCTATATCTAATTTCTGGCAGGTTGCTTTATGGTTTTCCCAGCATTTTTTTTTTATGGAAAAGTGAGTCTTTATACCATGAGTTTATACCATAAGTTGAACTTATCAAATATTGTGTCCATTTGTGGGGTTTTTTTTGTTTTTTTTTTATGTTGTGTACCTAATCTGTTCCACTGATCCAATACCATGCTGTTTTGATGATTACTGCTTTAAGATCTGGTACTGCTAGGCCCCATTCCTTCCTACTTTTTTTTCAATATTTCCCTTGAGATTTTTGTGAATTGGATCAGTTTTTAATAAGGTTTAAAGCCAGATGTTTTATATGTGATAATTTGTATTATGAATGGATTTTTTTTGCAATAGTTCTGTATTTGTGATAAAAGCAAATATTTTGTTTGTTTTTTTCCTACAGAGAGAACACTTTCCTTTGCAGAGTCAGTACAAAGAAAGAGAAATAGGCAGCTTTCAGCATACTGTAAGTAATAAGCTTATATTCTAGGTGTGAACTTGGCCAAGCCACAGCTTTTGTAGTAGTAAAGTGCTATTTTAATCCTATGAAGATTCTTCTTTTTTTTTCCTCTTATGTTCAGTGTTGTCTTTGACTGTCTGTTGGAATAAAATTTGATAAAATATTTAGGGTTTGTCTTTCCTAAGCAGTAGACATCATGTCCCATGAAATAAATAACTATTCTGAGTAACATTACCTGTTTATAGTGTCCTAGATACTTTACACAAACTATATTGCTCACCAGTAAAATATTACAGTTCTCTACCACAAACCACTCTGTCTTTTAAATACTTAAATTACTCAGTGTGTAAGAACAGATTCTGGAAAATAGTAGGGCTTATTATAGATGGGAAAAATTAAATGTAAAGGAAAAGAAAACCATTTTAAAATTGTTTTGGGACCCATATGTCCTTGCCTTGGACTAGAAGTTGGGAGACACTGGCCTAGACACTATTAAGAATTATGAGTAATATATTTCATAATAGGTGTCAGTCATGACATAAGCTAGAAAAAACAAGGAAGAAATTTTAACTCTAAAGGGATTTTTGTAGGAGTTTTTTGGAGGAGGGCGTGTGAATAAGGTTCCATTTTTTACATACAGATTTTCATGGTGTAGTGGAAAGAACATACAGTTTAGAGTTAAAAGACCTGGATTAAAATCCAGACTCTTTCATTAACAACATAATGACACTGGCTAAGACAGCCTCTTGGGCCTCCATTTCTTAAGCTGTACAATGCAAATGGTAGACTAAATGATTTCTAAAATCTTTTGAAGTACTGTGATCTTCCCATACACAACTCCCAAGTCCTATTTGTTTGATTTTTGGCTTTTCTATTTGTTTAAACTCCTTGAACTTACTGTGGCTATTCCCAACATCAGCCTATGAGACCTTGTTGGTAGAAACTCCTGAGCTTCACAACTTTTATTTCTCCTGGTTTATCATATAATTAGCTGAACTTTGAAGTGGCATTGTCTTTCTTTTTATATCCAATTTCTATTTTTTTCAATCAATGAAAATTCACCTTCTCTCCTTCCCACCTCCTCTTCCCTCCACCACAATTGAGAAAAGAAAAAAAGAAAAAAACCAACCTATTTCAAACGTGTATAGTCACACAAAATAAATTACCCCATTAGCCATGTCGAAAAAAAAGGGTTTCGGTCTACACTCTGAGTTCATCACCTCTCTGTCAGGAAATAGGTAGCACATTTCATCCTGAGTCCTACATTTGATCAGACTTCTGAAGTCTTCCATAGTTGTTTGCCTTTTCAATGATGTTCTCAATGATGTCTTTAAATTTAGAAATCTGAACCTGGTCACACTCTAAATGTCCCTGAGTTGTTTAATATCTTGTATCCTGGGAATGACACCACTTTTGCTGGGGTGCAGCAAGGATGATCTCCTTTTTATCCCCAAATGAAAAGAGAATTATAGTTTTCACTTAATGGTTGGTGGAAGAATTGCCAGGGTGGGTGGATATGTGTGGTTGGGGGGAAGGTAAGGATACATAGACTGAGTCATAGTCTTACCTAAGAGTAACCAAGAATGAGAAGAATGCAAACAGCTGATGTGTTTAATGTAAGCAATATTTGAATTTTTAGACTATGGTAAATGGCAGACAGTTCGACTATGAAGATCACCATCCAGAGGGGGAAGATGGGTTTCAGCAGATGTATCCCCTTTACAGTCAGACATGTTTCAAAGACTGGAGCTGTGACAAACATCAGCAAAACTCAGATCCTGGAAGATCCTACATCAACCCCCGAGAACATTACGTGTAATTATGGACGTGTGACAGAGTGCTCATTCTTATACTGGGAAAAGAAAACATCAAGCAGTGTATCTCTTAGCTCTGAATTTCATAGGGCTGGACCAAGTGCATTTGGAGTGTTGATGAATGACTCACCATTGATTGGCCAGCCCCTGGCCTTGAATAGGTTTTCCTCAACCTCTATCTGTGAATCAAGTATAGCTGTGTATGTGTGTATATGTGTGTTTCATTTCAAAAAAACAACAAACCACTAACATTTGGCCTGCGATAGCATTTTCATTTAAAATTCCAGTGTGTGCCTGTGATAGCTGCTATGAGTCTCCAGAAATAGAGCCCCAGCTGGCTGCACTAGCCTCACTGGGTTTCAGGCCTGCCAGCCCATTCATCTGTAGTTCAAACGTGCAGAAAATGAGTTTAGAATCCATTCCACTAATTATTTCTCTGGGATTTGTCTTTCCCTGACATGCTTAATAAAATTACAATACCTGTGTACAAATAGAGACCCAAGGAAAGAGGCATAATTTGCTCTGTGTGGGGAAAACAACAATCACCACAAAAGAGAGAGAGAAGAGAGAGAGACAGAGAAAGAGCAGCTTTCCAACTTAAAGCTAGTGGAAGGCTTTAACCCTTATGAAGCTGCTATATGTGTATTTTTCTTCAGCCACAATTCCTCTCCTTTTTTTGGAGGCAGTCAGGGTTAAGTGACTTGCCCAGGTTCACACAGCTAGTAAATGCCTGAGGCCACATTTGTACTCAGATCCTTCTGACTCCAGAGCCAATGCTCTATCCACTGTGCCACCTATCCCTCAGCCACAACTTTGAAGCCAAAATTTCCCTGTAGAATATGACCTAAAGCTCAGCTGCTGCTGTCTGTCCACCTTTCTATCAGTGACCAAGTGTGGTTCTCTTCTTTTGTTCCTGTGAATTCTACAGACTCTCTGTACTTCTTAGATTAATATCCTTCCTAAATACTAGATTCTTGGAACCTGTTCTAAACTGTCCTTGACTTCAGCACCTTTTTTTTTCTTTTCCACTTTCTTCTGTCTGACATGTTCACCTTCTGCTACTGAAATCTGATCTAACCCACTTATGCCACCCCCAAACAACTGCCTTTTCCCATAGGTTTTGCCCCTGTGTCTGTATTTTAATTCATCCTTGCTTCTCTTCTATGTAACACCTACTTCAGAACTGCCTATTGCATTTCTGTGCTGCAGAGACACCTTTGAATTAGCTCTTCACTTGAGGTCTAATGCAAAGAGAGTTTTAAAACTAACAGAAGTCTACTTTTATATGACATATGTGCACAGACCCCAAGCTCTAGCCTCTCCTCAGCCAGAGAGCTTTGAAGGACTGCCAGTAGTTTACCTGGTTAGCCAGAGCAAAGGTCATTGAATTTTCCACAAAAATACTTGGACATTACAAAGAAAAATGGTGGCACTGATTTGACCTGTTTTTCAACCAGTGGATTATTTTACCTGTGCCAGATGGTCCAAATTTTCCTCATTCCCATTCAGTATCTCTAAATAAAAATGGGGCAGAGTGATGGTAACAATGGTGGAGAGAAGGGAGGATGGGAATTGAGTGTATTTACAAAAATGTGAACACTTTCACAAATGTAAACACTATCACAAATACATGAAAGTTACTGAGCAACACCATGAAGTAGTGTTTAAAATTGTGCTCTTATGTCCCTACGGAATATGTGGTCCTGCCTGAGGAGATGTTAGATGAGGTTAGCCTTATGGTCACTCGTTAATGCAACATGAATGAAAAGGAGAGCAAAAAACTATGGAGTTGCCATTTGTGCATTGGACCTCAGAAACTCCTAACCACCATTTTCTTAATTCTCTCTGCTTTGCACCATTCCATGCCCATCTATAAATTACGTCTCAGTGGATTATGGATGAGTTGCCGCCATTTAAATTCCTTCTCCTAGAGCTAAGTAGTCTAATAAGTTCTTCACATTTTTCTTTTAAGATGCATGATTTTTTTTTCCTAGAATACACCCATAAATTTTTGCAGTTTTGGGCCCTACTTACTTAGGTCACATAAACTTTGTAATAGTGTTTCCTGGTGCCTTCTATCTATTGTTTCTAAATATTGAACTAAACAGGAAGAGACACCCAAAAGGGATATTCAGCTTTATCCTCAACTGAGAAATGTCATCCAAAAATGGCCTACTGGTCCCTAAATTTGGGTCCCAGACAACTTGACGGTGTCCATTTAAATTTGGAAGTTTGGTTCTAAAAGGCGAGTGAGGGAGGCTTACAGAAGTAATCCCCAGCTGATATTAGATTACTCTTCCTATAACTGATTTACTAGGACACAGTAAAACTGGAATAAATCCCTAGAGCACTTACCCGCTCAGGCTGGCAGTTTTGCATTTCCAGGGGAAGTGTGCAGGCCCATCTTAAACACACATCCTTTATTGCTCATTTTGTAGGCAGCCCAGGCTCCAGGAGCAAATGCATTCGGTGGCTGTAATAGCAACCCACCAGCTGCTCAGCAAGTCCCACTAAATGTAACTGCTTCAAAAGCTGGGATTGGCCAGATGTGCAAGAGATGAGTTTGGATATTTTCTTAAATGACAGTGATTTACCCTTTCTCGAAAAGCTTTTTTCCCCTCTTCCTTTCTACATTTCACATATTTGAAGAATGTCTGCAGTCTTATGAGTATAATATGGAAGTCTTAACCCTGCCAGTCGAGGAAAAGAATCAGATTTTTTGATGCCCTTGGCGTGGTGCCTTGCACATAGTAGGTTCTCAATAAGCATTTATTAAAAAATCCCCTTATTAGGTTTCCCAGGTCATATCTGCCCAGTGGGGGAGGGGGCACATTTAGTTTCTTCCTTCCTGCTTTGAGATGCATTTCCTAAACTCCCTTCCATATTAAGAGACAGCATGGGTTTTGGTGGTGGTTATTTTTTATAAGCATAGCCTTTACTAGCCTTCTCTCATCAGTCTCCCTGTGGGTGTTGGAGTTGCACACAATAGAATGTTTCCTCCATGTCTTTTTCTTAAGAGCTGGTTTGAGGTATATGTGTGTGTGTGTGTGTGTGCCTCATCAAGGTTTAAAATGTGTAACCTCCTTCCCCATCAAAGTGTGAATACAATTTGACTTCTTTAAAAGAGTAGCTTATATCAATCTAGGAATATAACAGGAGCACAACAAAGCCATAATCACTTATACAATTACAGATTCAATAATGCTCCCTCCCACCTTTTTTGCATTTTGAATGACTGAAAAATAGATTTGGCAGTCCTTCTTGTGTTACATTTAAGTAATTAAAATTTTTCAGTTTGGTCCTATTTCCCTGATGCAGTAGTAGCAATGTGAAAATAAATGGGGCAGCTGGATTGCACAATGGATAGAGCACCAGGCCTAGAGTCAGAAAGACCTGAGTTCAAATCCAGATCCAGCCTCAGATGCTTACTAGCTGTGTGACCCTGGACAAGTGACTTAACCCTGTTTGCCTCCGGTTCCTCATCTGTAAAATGAGCTGTAGATGGAAATGGCAAACCACTCCAGTATCTTTGCCAAGAAAACCCCAAATGGGGCCACCAAGAGTAAGATATGACTGAAATGACTCAGCAACAGCCACAAAAACAAATAATGCAATATGCTATTTCTGCACTTGGATAAGTCTCCAAAGGTATAGCCCTCTATTACCCAGGCAAGATTAAGAATTATTGCTAGCTCCACCTGAGTCAGTCTACTTTGTTCCACTAAATGCTCTTCCAAAGCATTGAGCATCTTTGTCCCTTCATGACTACATGATTTGCAATTTTTAAATACTGGCACTAAAAATGTGTGCATTTGTAAAACATAATATTATAAGTATCCCTTGTTATGTTTTCTATCTTCCATCTCATCTCCCTCTCCCCGTTGTGACTGCCAACTCTCCCCATCCTTGGTCTTGGTTCTGCTTTGCTTTCCCATCACATACAAACAATGTCTACGGTGGGAAGAGCATTAGCCCTGGCCTCACAGGTTGTTGTTCAGTCATTTTTCCATGGTGTCCGACTCTTGGGGCAGGTCCCTTGCTCTGCCTAGTCTTCAGCTTCCTCATCTGTAACATGAGGACACTTGGACTAGATGATCTCTGATGTCCCTTCCATTTCTAGTTCTAAGATATGACTCTGTGTCCTTTTCCAAAGATTAATTAGTCATCTTGGTTGCTAATTCAGATAAGTTGCCAGCAGGTAAGGACAAGAGGGGCAAAGAATGTTACAGAATTAGAGAGAGGAGCCTCTTCTTCCATAGGTCAATAATATGCCAGGGTAGTATTATATCTGTTTTGTTTTTGTTTTTGTTGTTTGGTGGTTTTGTTTTTTTTTTTTTTTCCGCTTTGTAACATCCCCTACCATGAGAAACGTATTGCTGCTCATCAGGGTTTATTCTTGTTCCATTAACAAGGTCATAGGATCATGGGGCCATAACTATGCAATGAGAAATGGGGCCAAAATCTACAGAGATCAAGTGTCCCCTTCACTTGAAACCTACATCCATGCATTCTCATTCATACTCACATTCAAAAATGCGCATATCCATTATTGCCAAAGCTGACTCCATTACTTCCTAATGCTCTGCTTCTGGAAGTGCAGGGGGAGGGGGAGGTAATGTTTTTCCTTGAATTTAAAGCAGTTAAGGAATACTCAAAATGTTTATGGACACAGAAGGGTGTGTATACACATGTACATATCTATCTCTGTCTTTCTGTGTCTCTATATATGTATGTATGTGTGTGTATATATAGGTATAGCTATATATACACACACATATATACAGATAATCTAGCTAGCTAGCTAGATTGGTAGATAGATAGATGGACGGATGGATGGATAGATGCATAGGTGCATAGACCTGATATTACTGAACTGGACAGACTGAAATGTTAAAGTTTCCAAAGGAGGTGAGAACATCTTTCAGGAGTCTGGTATAATAGAGGTATTGAAATGAAAATCTATCCCTAATGGCCAGGAAAGAGGTATATAACTCTAGTGCATCTTTCTCAGTATTATTGATAAAAAAAAAAGATTCTTTATGTATCCATCTGTAATTTTGTGCTGAAGAACCATTTAGGATAACAGGGTTGTGAAAGTAGCGTTTTTTAAAATGTCCTCAAAGCTACCTCTTTCAAATTTCAAGGGATGCTCCCTGATTCTCATATTCAGAGGGCAGCTAAGAAAGAATGTGGTCATCCTCTACATACAATTCATAATCTGATAAAC